AAAAAAAAAAAAAGATAAAAACTATACTTGAAGAAGAAAAAACGATGTATTTATTATTTGATGAAATTACTTTATTATCTTTACTCTTCTCGAGTGCCAATCAATGCGTAATTTAATTCTTTAACCTCGAATAATGTGGAAATCGTATTCCACATATTTTATTAATTTTCATAGCAATGCAATCTCGTATTGAATATTTTTATATCTAAATATTAAATGCAGATCCAAATTTTACAATAATTCGCTTATTTGTTATTGAATTTTTTTTTATTTATTAATGGATTAAATAATATAATATTTTTTTTATGTATATTACATTTCATAACTAAAAAGTATAACTCAAAACTATCAAAAATGAAGCTGCATTTGTCTTGTAAAATCTTCAATTTCATTCGCGATTTTATGAGAAAAATTGCTTGTTAATATAATTTACATATTACGTTAATATAAATTACGTATTACGTATTATCTAACATAACCTAATATCTTATATTATCCATTATTTAATGTTATAATCAAATCTGTTAACATTATAATCAAAATAATAGATTTCATATTTTTTCTTTTATAATTATCGAAAATATGAAAATGATTTTATCGAAATTAATATTTTATAAAGAAATATAATTACCTACTTATTTTTATGACATTATTTTAATCAATCATTTATATATAAAATAGATATTTATTATAGTTCTAGTCTTAAAGATTATATAAGATATTAGAAATTAGAGATAAAAATAAATATATATATAAATATCCATGTTAAAATCTAACCTGTGGCATCATGTCTCAATAACACATGTAATCACAGGACAAATAGCATACTATACGCTTTTTTCAACGGCTTAATACAATATACGAGAGATATTTAATCGAACGGATCTTCTTTATCCATCCTTCAGGTTGTCGTATTACATTTCTTGTAAGGTAGCGATCGTTATCACGACTTGATACCTCTCTCATGGCAAATTACACGGTTAAACACGGGTTGGCGACGAGAGGGGTAGCAATCGGCGCGCTTTTAAAGATTTCAATCTCATCGGTCGTAACGAGTTGTGACACGCTCCGTTGCCCTCTTCACACTCTCGCCAATCCTTTTGCTCGCGACGACAGCGCCAACGAGGGAAGGATAAGTCGTTGCTTTCGAAATCGTTCACTCGTGCGATCCTAACCTTAAAGGATAATGTTTCGACGGGCATTATGTGATATTTCGAGATTCTTGTATATACGAAAGTTTAAATTGCATGGTTTCGATGTGCATTGAAGTGAATTGATATAGAGTAAAATACTTTTTTTCTATAAAGGATTTTAGTAAGGATAATTAAGGTAATCCACGATTGAGTTCGAAGATTTTCTTCGGAATTAGAAATATGAATAATTTGTTTGACAAAATCTGCTTTTTATGAGAAACACATGAAGGATAAATGAAAATTTGATGAGAATTACTTTAAGAAAGATTAATTTAGATTTTAGATTGTAGATGTAGATGAATACAATATTGAGAAAATATGATTTGATATGAAATTATTGTAATTCTATATTAAGTAATTCAAAACTATCAAATGTTGTTACTATTTTTTTTTCCAGATTTTAATTAACTAAATAATACTATATAAAATAAATTAATATATGATTACAATATACAATAGAGACCAAAATAAATATAAAAATTGTAGTTTGTTCTTAAATTAGCAACAAGTGCATTAGACGAAGTGAAATAGAATCGATAGAATCAATAGAATCGATAAAATAGACTATCAAAAATATAATCGATTAGATTGACGAACAGAGATAGAATTGTCAATTTTAATTACTTATAAATAATAAATAAGTCTCAAATGACATTTTTATATTAACTTTTTTTTAATTTTTTTTTTCTTTACTTTTTTACTTTATCGATTACCATCTAAAATAAAAAAATTGCATTCAGCAATGTTTTAGAGAGCTTTTAAACGATTAAAAGCTTTTTCAGATTTTGTCATTCAATGTGATTGTAAAGGCGAATATATATAGATATTGTATCAGACAAGTCAAAAGACTTGCCAAATACAAAGTGTCCTTACCTAATATCTATTCTTATAATTCTAATTCTGAATAAATTCTTTTCTACCAGATATATATCAAGTCGAACTAAACATAACATTTCGCAGGTATGAAAAATCATACATTGTATTGCGTCACAGGCATCAGATTTACGTTTCCGCCATATTTTTCGTATTTATTTTTCGATGAAATCGTATCTTTCGAAATGAAATTTAAAACGGGAGTCTCATTGCAAAACTTTAAACTTACTCTTTTGACATTTATAACTAAACATTCTTTAATTCTTTATTTCAAATGCTATCTCGATAAATGCATTTAATTTTCTCCTTGTAAAAATAATTTCGTGAAAATAGCTACGAAAATTTTACATGGACAGATTATGAAAAATGTGATACTTGAAACGGATATTCCAATAAATAATAGTCATATAGAAACATTCGAATATTCATTTAAAATATATATATATAAATTAAAGGTATTTGAAATAAAATATTTAAATCAATAAGTAATTTCATACATTATAACCTTTAATGTACGTAAAAATTATATCTTTTTAAAAAATTAAATTTAGAACATAGTTTATTATATGCAACATATTTTTTTAAATTTAGAATAATCCTTCCATTTTAGTTTCAAAGGACGTATAACCTTCCCATAGAAAGGATCGCACGTCGACTGTTCCATTTCCGATTGGAAGCGCAAGAATGTGTTTTACACGGACGTTACTTTGCGGTAACGACACCGGTTTCTATAACTTATGGTCAACCTTGACTTTCTAAGCAATCTAAAAAGCGGTAACGATGCAGCATCCATGAGCTAACGGTCCGATGTCTGTAAAGAGTTTAACTGGTGGGACGCAATAATTCAGGTTCGTCTATGGTCAGTGTGGAGCCAGCTGAAAGGGCTAAGATATTTATGGGTTGCAGCTGATCTTGGTCCATGTAGAGCTTTTTCACAGTGAGAATAAAACTAGCCTCGATGTCATCCATGTCTTTTTTTCATTGATCTATACACTTAGTATTGTTAATATATTTTTTTTATAATTCTAATATTAGTTTATTTAAAGAAATCTAATAAGGAATCAAAAATTTTTTATTAATTATGATTCAAATCTGAAAAACTAATTCAAAGAAAAAGCCATAGTCACTAGAGCTAACTTTCCAAATCTCTGTTTATCTCAAAAATTGTCTCTGCAGCTTTATATCAACGCATGATCGCATATGAGCACAAAAACGTTCCAAGCCATTGATAATCCTTGGAAACTCGGTATTGTAGTATACGTCTTTCGGAAAAACCCTTTCACGGCCAAGAGAATTCTTTCACTATAAGCATAGGTATAATTCGAGAAAATCTTCTTTGTGGTTCACTATGTGAAACATACAGTAGTGAAACATACATAATGGTGTATATAAAGAGTGTTTCTCGAATCTAAGCCAAACATAAAATGGGAAAAAACAAATAAAAAATTCATGAAACAAAATTAGATTCAAAGGAATTGTATATTTATCAGAAAATGTGATTTTTATTTGCTATAGAAAAAATTTAAAATAGACAAGAGAATATACAAAACTCTATTTATTTTTTATCTTTCTAAATTTTTAAATAACTTTATTTAGTAAAATTTCCATCATTAATTTTCAGATAAACTACAACATCGAAGCATCGAGTTATGTGATAATGCCATTAGAAGGAAAAAAGAAACAAGAAACAAGTAACCCCTTTGAGTCGAAGAGGGTACATGCACCGATGGTTAGAGGAGAGAAAAGCGGTGTTTTGACGGGATACGAAACGATACTCTGGTTTCGTCTCTGTAGAAAGTTTTCTTTGACCGGATACCGTAGGTAACGCTAATGGAAGTTGGTGCAACATTCGAAGGTGGTAGCTCGTGAAACGCGATCAGGATTTAACCCTCCGCGATTCCCTCCCCGCCAGCTTTGCTATCCGTAATCCGCCTACGTCGAGTGGACACAGTGAGCGCACAATATCGAAGAAATCCCTCACTCGGTTCCCTTGTTACTCACGCCATATGTGGTCCAATTCGAACAGGCTCGTGGCAGTATTACTATTTTCGTCACGTGTCGTTACCTGACGCGAGATCGAGTTTCGCCGTTAGCTAACTTAGATTGTTTCTTTTTCTTCTCCTTTTTTCTCTCTTGTTTTGATTTGAAAATGTTACAAAACAATGTTTTCTAATTTGTCCTGAGCCGCGATCATTTCTTATAATATTTATAATTTTTGAGTAACTTTTCTTCTATCAATAGGAAATAATAATATAAATTAATAATAATATAAATAATATAAAATAGGGAATTTGAAAAAATTAATAGTAAGATACTAGATATTAAAAAAATCATTTTAGTATTTTTATAGAATATGAAAATGTAATTATATTGAAAGTTATTAAGTAATAACGACTTCTTAAAAATATTCTGCGATTGAATTAACAATTTGCTATGATGGAGATTGCATAAAAAGCACGTGTTTGTTTTTTTTTTGATCAAAAAAAGTCGATATGCAAAAAACTCGCGTATAAATTCAAATATTTATATAATTCTATTATCATGTTTATCATGTTTATATACGAAATATATTTAAAGTGATTCAACATCTAAAGGAAGAAGAGATAGCAACATTTCTGCAATCATTTATTGAATTTCCGTGTTATTGGTAAGATACGTGTCAAACGAAGCAAAGTTAACACAGATTTAAACTAGTTTGCTCGTTGACCAATACGTAATCCTCAGGGATTTGACACGTTCGAATCATGTGTTGGGGAAATAACCACCGGTCTGGCAAACGGAGAATCAACTTCCTGTGTTCTCGTCGCATGCGCTCGACCTGACCAGTCGTAACGTATTTAAATGAGATTGATGTATCGTTTCCTCTTAAACCACTGATTGAAAGAATGTGAAAAATTGTTTTCACGTTCAGTCATGCAAACATTCACAAACTCTTTTTTTTTTTTAAAATTCAATGAATTTTTTCGAAATCACATTACATATCAAACTATTAAAAATTGGATTTTTCAAACACGATCAGACATCTATAAAACATGATAAAATTTTCTAAATTATTATAGAATCGTTTTACACATATTTTACATGTATTTACATTACACCAAAAAAAAAAGCAATATCTATCAATATCAATCAATCTTTTCAAATATGATCCTATACAAAAAAAGAAAAAACAAAAAACAAATTAAATTTGTATTTATTATTACAGATATTCACAAAAACCAACGAAATAAAAATACCAATGATCATCCAAAGAAGCTCTAATTAGTAAGAGAGAAAAGTTACGAAATCTTTGCTCATTCATCTGCTTACAAGATACCAAACATTTTTCAACGGTACCCTGTAACACATGTTTGGTATTTCAACAAGGATCGCGGAACGAATACGTCATCAGATGACCAGATTTTGTGCAACAGAGATCCGGAATTCGGAATTTCAGAAGACGGACAAACGAATCCAGTTACAAGATTTCAAGTTAACGCGCATTTGATTTATTAGGGCATGGCAAAAACTCCACCCTTGACTCGTAACCCTTATTTGACTCACAAGTCTTAACTCAGGTCATCCTTAAAGGAAATCGTGTCTCGGTAGTACCACAGCCAATAACGAGAACCATTTGGAATGTCTATTGTTAAATCAGAAACGTTTCTTTCGCAACGAGCTTCTATTGCAGCTTCAGTTTTCGGAAAGGAAACCATCATTTTTAACCCAGCACGAAATATCCTGTGTCTTTTTGTACATATGGTGAAGGTATTGCATCAATAATAGATCAAGTTCTTGTTTCTAAGTTTGAGGAACCTGGTTTGATCTCGAGATACACAATGTTTCTTATTCTTTTAATAAGTAGTAAGTTGATTGTAAAATATTTTTGTTTCGACTTTATTGGAATGATAAAGCATACAGTATGATGAGTCTGATGAATTGATCTTTGTTCATTTTATTTTTGCTATTTTTTGATTGAGATTGAATGAGATGAATATAAGATAAGATTTGAAAAGAGATTATTTATTAATTCTGAATTTGGATGGATAATCTAATCTGTTTAAATTTTATTTTCAGTGATAAATATTTTGAATATTTGACTGGATGAATGAAGTAGAGATCTAGATTAGTGCAAAAAATATACTTGCCTATGGAAAATAAAAGTAAAACTAGTGAAATTGGCACAAATAAGAAACTTAGATCTTAAATCATGAGAAATTTATACTTCAAGCATTGAAAGAATCGAATCCATTTCTGGATTAAATATAGATATTTAAAAGAAAAATATAATAATGGGTGCAAAATCGTGAAACAGAAACCATAAATGCCATGCACCGCGATGTGTCGTGCGTGTAACCAGCATTTCAACATCTGCCATCAGACCACTAACAGGCTGACAGGCTGACCACGCATTTGCGCAACTGTCGCCTCGTCGCTTCTCGGCCTGATCGTTTATAAGCTGTCCAATGACCGATGATAATGATAATTTTCAGCTTCCAAAGAGGTGTCACCCAGATGTTACGCGCTATCAAAGCGCATTATCGACTGCGTTGGATAGAGGCAATTGCATATATAGAGCTCGAGTTTGTAAAGCTATGATCGCAGAACGTGTACCAATTGTAAAGCCATAATTGTATAAGATGAATTCGATTGAAAGATTGTTTTGGTTTCGCTTGCATTCATTTTTTTTTGGTATAATAATTCATCTTGTTTCTAAAAATGTTTATTTTGTGACGTGTAGAATACATTTGAGAATATTTCTTGAAGATTAATAGGATATCGTGAGATAACTAAGATTTATTGCAATTTTTCTGATATTGGTTAATTATTCAAATATTTTGACTTTGCAAACATTCGATTGAAAAATATCGAACAATTGCGTTTTTTGTCAAAGAATATTAATTTTCATTGAGACCAGTCAATTTGACTTTGTGACATTTTTAGGCTAGCTTATCGGTTCACTTGTTTAGCTTTCAAATGGTTAACAAGAGACCTATTGACATATAGAATTGTATTGGAAATGAAATTTCATATTTCTACTTAAAAATTAGAAACTGTTTTTATCGAACGATAGGGCATTGTCAGAGAAGTTATTAATTGCCATTTCTTTTTATCTTTGCACAGAATTCTTTTGCAAGAGCGGAGGGTGGCAAAGACAAATTTATCCGAGGAAAAGTTAGGCGTATGCGAGACACAAGTTCTCAAGGGGAGATAGCAGCTCGAGGATAGACGCAAAGCTGTCTAATGGTGTCACCTGAGATCATAATGGATGGCGGTCGAGAATAAAGACTTACTTATTCCATCGAAACGACGTGTTCTCGTGCATTTCTCTCAACTCTTGATGAAACAACAAATGGAAAAAAAAATGGTGATATTGTTTTTTCGATGTAATTTCACATTATAACTTAATGATCTCATAGTCTGTTGAACGAAATAAAAAAATATTGTAGATATCTATTGATATATTCTAATATTGATAATACAAACTATGAATTATTAATTTTCCGAATCGAGGAAGATTATTTAACGATCATTCAGTTCATTTTTGAATTTTTATTTATACTCGATTGCATGGAAGAAATTTTCATAGAAACTTTCATCCTTTCATTCGAATTTCTCTTACCTATGCTTTTTGTCGTTGCAAAACGATGCTACACCGTGAGACTCGAAGCTTGACTTATAATTTCCTGTCCTCCCTTTTTTTTTTTTACTACCACCAACCCCATGGTCAAAGGATCCGACTTTTCTCCACGCATCTTTGAGCTTTTCTTCCTTTCCCTCTTTTTTTCTTTTTTTTGTCTTTTTCGAACACTGTCGTCGAAGAAATTAGACCTGTCTCGTGTTTCAGCCATACGAACATCCGGTTCGTACGAGAAGTTACGCCTTCTTGACCTATGCCAGCCTTATAATCTCACATTCGTAGGAAACAACGCTTTAGCGAACTTGTTAACCGTATTACATTAACTGTATTACAAGTTCGTGCATTTATATGAAAAAGTTTTTCGTACATATTATTTTATAAACAATTTTATTTTACATTATTAAAAAAAAAAATTGTTCAAAACAGTACGATCAAAATTTAAAAGAGAGAGATAAAAATTTTTATTTCAAATTTTGTCCCATTATACGCGAATATTATTCAAATTCGTAATAATTACGAGCTACGTGACACAGCTCGAGATCGTTTTCGATTCCGATTTCCCTAGTCGGGAAAGAATCTCATTTTACGATATTATTTCCCGTTAAGACGATGATATTTCACGATGCTCCTGAATAGAAGTGGATCCTATCGTGAATGTAAAGATCGAGATCGTCCCCTACTTCTCGCAAATTCTCGCTCTAATCTGTGAGTGATTGTCCTCGGTTGACAAAAGCTAGAGAACCCGAAGTTGTTCGAGTTCTCCGACCCGACCGATCCGTGCCCTTTTCTTTCTTTTTTCTTTTTTTTCTTTTTCT